TCCAAAAATTCCTTCGGAATAGGGGAATTTCAGGAGTAGCCTGAAACTCCGTCTTCTCACTGCTAAGCCCCGCCTTCTTCCCGGATTTGAGTTTTTCTTATCATCCTTTATGAATGAGATCCCTGGCTCATTATAAATTATTGGCAGTTTTATCGCTGGAGATTTAAATGCTGGAAATTCAGGTATATGGATGGTATCCTATCTACGCTTACTTCAGAATAAGCCCTGCTGAATTTCAGAATGTTTAGAATATTTTGATGAGATATGTTCAAAATATTCAGAATATTTTGAGTAGATATGTTTCTAGGTTGCATAACAGGATTTTATCTGCAAATAAGTTGTGTGGGACTTACTTCTACCTAGAATTATCTGCAAGATGAATCAGAATCATTTTTAAAGTTTTTATAATTTAGACATGCATTCCAGCAAGAGAGCTGACATACTTAACCACATTGCAGACAAACTCTGAATATCTTTCCAGCTAAGGCTCTCTAACCAATATTTTCCTTATTTTACAGAATCCCCTTCACCTGCAGTTGAGTTTAGAACGTTCCCTGAGTTTTGATGCTGATGTCACTTTTTCAATCTTGGCCTTGAACAACTGGTATAATTTTAGTTTGATGGTATGCCAGGAAGAGTGGAACATCACAGATTTTCTCTTCCTTACTCAGCAGAGCTCCAAATTTTATTTGGGATCCATTATAAATATTACAGGAAACCTCACATCAGCCAGCGACCTCTTGACCTATCTGCAGTTTCATCTGGAGAACATTAAGGATACAACTTCAACAGTGGTGATGTTTGGATGTGACATGGAAAGCACAAGGAGGGTTTTTGAGATAACCACACAATTTGGGGTTATGCCACCTGAACTTCATTGGATTCTTGGGGATTCACACAATGTGGAAGAGCTGAGGACAGAAGGTTTGCCCCTAGGTCTTATAGCTCATGGGAAAACAACACAATCTTTTTTTGAAGATTATGTGCAGGATGCAATGGAGCTGGTAGCTAGAGCAGTTGCTTCAGCTACAATTATCCAACCAGAACTGGCATTGATTCCAAGTACAACCAACTGCTTGAGCACAGAGGAAAAGAATCTCACATCAGGCCAGTATTTATCAAAGTAAGAGATCTCTCTTCAATAAATGTTGTAAATATGAATGTCTCATACAAAACTCAAGCATCAAATCAGATTTTTCTCCATGATGATCTATCCCCAACATGTTGCTTCAGGTCTTCCAATGGTGCACTCAAGGCCTCTGTAACTGAGTTCATCCACCTTGCTACTATTGGTTGGCTAGACTCTAACTCCAGAATTCCTACAAGGCACAGAAAATTCAGGGAGTTTAAACTATCCTCAGGTTAATTCCCAGGTTGGGGAAGCTTATCTAAAAAGTGGCTTGGGGATAGATATGATTCAGAGAACGGAAGCAGCAGGTGATTAATTCCTATTCAGCTAATATAAAAATATTTTTATTTTTAATTTGTTTAAAGAAAAAAAGACTCATTTTTAATGAAAAATAATTTCAAAGTGAAATTTATTTCTAATAAACTATAACACTCCTAGGAAAGACCACCACAGTAGAGGGCACAGATTTGAGAAGTCTGATTATTATCATAAGGGCACTTTTTCTGCAGAAGGCAAGTCCATCCATTAAGTATCCTGCTGCCAATGAAAGACACTGAGGGCACAATACCAAAATCTAATAGTCACCTGATTGGAATAGACTGGCCTGCAGCATGTTGCCCTGTCTGTCTCTTCCCTTATAAGCAAGCAGCGACAACTGTCCTGTGTTTCATTTTAAGAGTTTTATAATCCATCTTCAAAATTCTGCTATTAGATGGATTAGAACATTGTGATAATAGCAAACTAAGGAGTTGAGACTGCCATGGAGTATGCAGGCTTGTGCAATATAAATTTCCTGTTACAACAGGGCAAGTGAGAAGTTCCTTGTGATTTTGTGGGTGAAAGATATCAGAGGGACACTACCATGTTTCCCTGAAAATAAGACAGGGTCTTATTTTCTTTTAGCCCCTGAAATAAGTGCTTGGCCTTATTTTTGGGAAGGTCTTATTATTTTTGAGGTTCAGGAGGCAGAGAGCATGGTCACCTCATGGCTGCTTCTGTGTTGCAATAATTTCAGAGCGGGCTTATTTTTCAGGGGAGGGCTTATTTTCAGGGAAACGGGGTAGTATCTACAGTATGTTATGATGGGAGGACAATAAACATCTCTGAAGCTTAAAAATTGGTCCTATTCAATTCACAGAGATACGGAATCTCTCCAGGTCCAAACATTCAAATGACTTTTCTTGTGCTGTGTTTTTGTAGCACATACCTTAGAAATCTTGTATTGAGAAAGTTTCTACTGTGTTAATTCCTAATCTTATGATTGCCCTGGTTACAGGGTAAAAAGCATTAGGATTTAGAAACCCCATCTAGTCTGTAAATTATGGCATTTTAATTATGCCATTTGAGTAATTAAAGCCCCATATGCGATTTGACTCACTGCCCATTCTCGTTTTTCTCATTCTTGACTAAACTTTGGGCGATAAAGATAAAGTTACCAAGTTACCAGGCTAATGAGTACAGAACAATTTAATTAACCTAACAGTGAAAAATTATTACTGTGACCCCTTTGAATCGTCAATATTTCAGCCCCCACAAAATTCAAAGAGTAATGAGCTTATGACTATGAATGCAGTACATGCAGTACTTTTGGTCACAGAGCTAAATTGAAATGATACATCAACAACACTCAGTATGAATATGACAAATGCACATCATAAAAACTTCAAATTTTCAGGAAGCCGTGATTAGAAGTAACTCTACCTTATTGCAAACAGTCATTTCATGCTGAAAGGGAATGGGATTGAATTCACTCATACTGTCCCAGCACACAGCTTTCATCCATTCACTGGAACTGTGTGCATAAGTAAGAGAGCCAAGGTGGCGCAGTGATTAAATGCAGCACTGCAGGCTACTTTGGCTGTTCAAATCTCACCGGCTCAGGGTTGACTCAGCCTTCCATCCTTCCGAGGTGGGTAAAATGAGGACCCGGATTGTTGTTGGGGGCAATATGCTGACTCTGTAAACGGCTTAGAGAGGGCTGAAAGCCCTATGAAGTGGTATATAAGTCTAACTGCTATTGCTATTGCTATCCTTGACGTATGACCACAATTGAATCCAAAATTTCTATTGCTGGGATAGTTGTTAAATGAATTTTGCTCCATTTTACAACCTCTCTTGACGTAGTTGTTAAGTGAATCACTGCGGTTCTTAAGTGAGTAACATGATTGTTAAGTGAATCTGGCTTCCTCGTTGACTTTGCTTGTCAGAAGGTCCCAAAAGGTGACTCCAGGATACGGCAAGCATCATAAATATGAATAAGTTGCCAGGTGTCTGAATTTTGATTACATGACTGTGAGGATGCTATAAGAGTTGTAAGTGTGAAAAATGGTCATAAGTCACTTTTTTCACTGCCTTGTAATTTTAAACATTCACTAAATGAACTGTTGTAAGTCAAGGATTACTTTTTGTCTGTGGCTGTTCAGAGACCCTGCAAATGAATGCAGGAATGCAGCCTTTGGGTGCAGAGTGGAAAAATAAATGGGTACCCTCAAACACACTCACCAAAAATAAGAAATAGTGCTAGAAATAGAAAAGAAATGCGAGCAAGTGAAAGAAGAAATCTCATCTTAACAAAGAACATTTCACCAAATTAGATAACCCAAACAATTCAGGAGAAATATGTACATATGCAGAAAGAGAAACATTTACATACATTAAAAATCTGCTAATACACAACAGCAAACAGCATTCATGAATTTAATTGGAATAACATTATGACAAATACAAATAAAGAAGTTGACTTAAAAATGTTATTCAGCGGGAAAGTTTAACCCATTTATCTGTTCTGCTACCTTCAAGTATAAGTAAACTCCCCCTCCCCCACGTCTTAAATTAGCATGAATGACAGCTCCATAGATGGTTACATTCATCTCCATTCAGTCTTTGGGATTTTCCTCTTGTGCAAATGTGTTCAAATGGACCTTGTTTTCTGTTCGTCCTGAAAGAAATCAATAACCCATTGAGAAATCCCCATAAATAAGTCTAGTGGGAGAGAAGGATGTTCTTATATTTTAATTAACATGAAAGGGACAGCTAGAATGTATCTTGCTCTTATAAAAACAAAGCCAAGTCTATATAATATTTTAAAACGATGACTTGTTGGCCAAGCAAATTACTATTTATTAACATTTATCATTTGAAAAATATTTTAAACACAGAGGGCCTTTGCTGTCTATAGCTCAGATGACAAGGCATTTGGGTAAACAGGTTCTACTCCTACTGTTCATCCAAACATACAGTATGTGCAAATGATTTGTTCTCTGGTTTTGAGGATTTATGCATTTTAATTGTATGCCTATACAGAATAGGCAAGCCAAGCTAAGCTAGAACTCTAGGTTTCAGGCTTCCAAATAACATCCAAAAGTAAATCAGAGTCCAAGGCAAAGTATTGCTCAGTTCCAATTTATTAAGAGGGCCATGTTGGCACAACTGGGAAAACCTGAATCTGAAAGCTTCCCGATCCCCCCCCCCCAATTGAAAGTTCAAGATATTTCCCCCCACACCCACAAGTCCATCACATGGTCCAATCTCCCACTGCCATGCTGGCAGTTCCACCCATCCAATTCCAGTCTGGTGCAGAGGTGCACAGACAAAGGATGACCTTGGCTTTCTAGAAAGAATTTTGTTATGGTTACATAGTATGTGACTCCCTACAACTCTCCCTCCCATTTTCCCACAATAGAAAATGCATAGCAGAATAATAGAAAGTGTGGCAGGCCAAAGACCCAAAAGAAAAGATGGCTGCAGGCCTGACAGTAGGTGAATATGTTTGGGTGAATCAAGCAAAACATGTGTGTATTTCAGTTTGTTTCTGTGACTAAATCCTGATGAAGTTGTGGTTTTGCCTCAGAAACTTTGTAAATTTCAGCCCTGAATGAATAAAAAAAAATCTATGGCACAAGGTGGACATGTTAAAAAGAAAAATTCCTTTCCATTCCAGGACCTTCAAAATGTATACAGATATCTATAGTTTCCAAACTATGGGACTTTCTTGCCTATTGTGGACTTGAAAAATCTTACAACATAGTCCTCTCATTGTGCTATGGGAACTGCAAAGAAGTATCTGAACTGGCCTCACTTTTGAAGAAAAAGCATAAATGTGTTAAGGGGGGGGGAACAATCCCAGCTCCAAAAGATGATAAAAGGTTCTGTCCTCTGAATATCTGCTCATAACTTCTTACTTTTGTCCTATAGGTTTTTAGCCAACACTACGTTCCATGGGCTCAGTGGCCACATTAAGGTAAAAGGTTCTTCCATCATTAGTTCAGAAAACAAATTCTTCATTTGGAATCTGCAACATGACCCTGTTGGGAACCCAATGTGGACTCGCTTGGGGAGTTGGCAAGAAGGCAAGGTTGTCATGGATTATGGGATCTGGCCAGAGCAGGCTCAGAGGCACAAGAATCACAACCAGCATCCAACTAGGCTACATCTGAGGGTGGTGACACTCATTGAACATCCCTTTGTATTCACAAGGACTGTGGATGATGAAGGATTGTGTCCTGCAGGACAATTCTGCCTGGATCCCTTGACCAAAGATTCAGCCATTCTGGATGCTCTTTTTGAAAGCCTCCAAGGAGACAATGACACAGTACCCACCAAATTCAAGCAGTGCTGCTATGGCTACTGCATAGATCTTTTGGAAAAGTTGGCTGAAGATATGAACTTTGATTTTGACCTGTATATCGTCGGTGATGGGAAATACGGTGGCTTGAAAAATGGTCAGTGGACAGGACTGGTAGGTGATCTTCTGGCTGGGACAGCCCACATGGCCGTGACATCTTTCAGCATCAACACAGCCCGTAGCCAAGTGATTGATTTCACCAGCCCTTTTTTTTCCACCAGTTTGGGCATCCTGGTGAGGACCAAAGACACAGCAGCTCCTATTGGGGCCTTTATGTGGCCGCTTCACTGGACCATGTGGCTGGGCATCTTTGTAGCTCTACACATCACTGCAATCTTCCTGACTCTGTATGAGTGGAAAAGCCCCTTTGGAATGACCCCAAAGGGAAGAAACAGGGAGAAGGTTTTCTCCTTTTCCTCTGCTTTGAATGTCTGTTATGCCATCTTGTTTGGGAGAACAGCTGCCATCAAACCTCCAAAGTGCTGGACGGGAAGGTTTCTAATGAATCTCTGGGCCATTTTTTGTTTATTTTGTCTCTCCACATACACTGCTAACCTGGCTGCTGTTATGGTGGGAGAAAAAATCTATGAAGAATTGTCTGGAATACATGACCCCAAGGTAAGGAAGGGCTTTTCATTTCATAAAGTCATTATTTTTTTGTATCACAACACAGAAGTGGCAACTAGATTTGGTCTGGTAATATTAGCTATATGGCCTCTCTGCTGAGACTAGTTTCGTGTAGTTGTTAAGGTGCCAGGCTAGAAATAGATTGTGAGTTGTAGTTTCACCTTAATCATAAAACCAGTTGGATGAGGCTTTGGGCTGGGCATTATTTCCCAGAAAGAAAGCAATAAGACGTCATTTTCAATAAAATGTTGCCAAGAAAACTCTATTGAGTCTGACTTGAACATATACACAAAAATCCCACCCGTTAAGGTACTATAGAGGTTAAGGAGGTGGTTCTTCTTTTATATGCATATAATTATGTCGTTTATAATTTATTATATTATAATAATTGACATATAGATGTGTCTTTGTGTACATACATATGTAATATATGAATAATGCTTTTATTAGTGGTGCTATTTATAGAAGCCAGCATGGCTGTAAGGATCACAGTGGTAACCAGTTGTTAGTTAATATTTTACACTGACAAATGAGAGCACAGAATATTGCTGAAAGATTTTTAAACAATGTTTTGGCTTCTATTATAAATAAGGAGACAAAGCATGATTGGGGCAGAAGATCCAGGGAGTGTAAGTTATGATCACCTGGCAAAGCATTTCTAGGTAAAATCCTCCAATCTGGAAGCTGAATGGAAAGAATCTATCGAGATGACAGAATTGTCTTATAGTGATATTTGGGGACCTTTTGAGCTGTGGATCCTGAAGAAGTGGACAATGTGATTTGTGATCTGAACTCCATCATGTCTGAATTGGTTCTATGCTTCCCCTGGCTGAAATCTAGGAGGCTGCTACTCTCCAACATTCAGAAAAGCCTTAAAGACTTGTTATTTCCAACAAGGTTGTGATAAAATGTGCACTTGTAGGGGGAGTAAGAGAGACTTTTGGCTACACAGAGCTTTCCAGAAAGAGGTCCAAATTAAGATATTATGCTGTTCTGCCTGGAAGGGAGAGAGGGGAAGAGGTTCTAGGGAACCACACCCTACAATTTCTCAGGATACGTATATCTAGTAGGCAAAAAAGTTATAGCTTTAGTTTGGCAAGTTTCTGTTAATTGGGCAAGCTTCTGTCCTTCGTTTGTAAGTAAAAGGTTGGACTTGATTGGATCCTGCTGTCTTGTCTCTGGCCATGAGTCTGACACAGGGGATAGTACGAGGCTGGGGCCCAGAAAAGTTCCTTATGGATGTGTGGGAATGTTTTGTGATTGAGGGAATATTCTATGTTGGTCTTGTGTTGTGACTCAGCAGCAGTCTTCTGTGAGTCTTTTCGGGATGCAAGATTGACTATGCAGCTGGGGCTCGTTAGGGGCATCTTCTGGGGATAAAAGGATGGATGGTGCCACACCCTGGTTGCAGGAGTCAACGTTCATTCATTCATTTCAACATTCATTGATCATCGGTCGTGGTTTATTTGAAAGACACTTGGAGAAGTGATTGGCTTTCTGTAACCCTGATTCAAGGAGACACTTGGAGAAGTGCATTGCTTTGTAAGAGTTTTTGTTTGGTATTCTGTTATCTTGTCAGAGACTTTATTTATGTTTATTTTTGGGCTCACAGCCAGTCTGAGCCGAGAACTGATAAAGTGAGTTCCTTTTACGTTTGTCTGCCTGTCGTCTGTTAACGAGCGGAGAAGGGGGGACAGAACAGTCTTGTATATTTTCTATTGTTTTGTTATTGTTTCTTAGCTGCCCAAGATTATGTTGCCCAAGATAAGTGGCTATATACGTTTTAAAAAATAAATGGAAACTAATAAATAGAATAGCCAGGGATGGTAGTGAGAATTGGATCTTGAATGTAGTCAGTACTTTTTTGAGAGAAAGAGAGAGATTCAAGAAGTCTTAGAGGGGCGTTGGTTTAGCCTCGCCTTAAGGTTTCAGGCTGGACCTGAATTGAACAGAATTGGACAATTGTCATCATATAACTAACCCACCCTTTGTGGAAGGTTATGGAGAAACTGGTAGGGCTTCAGCTGTAGAAGACATGGATTAACTGAACCTTGGTAATATGGGTTCAGATCTGGCCATGGAAAAGAAACTCAATTGTTTGCTGTCATGGGTGACCTATGGAAATGCTTGGATGGAGGTTGTATGAATGTTATTGTGCTCCAATTTCTTTCAGCAGCTTTCATTATTGTTGACCACAGTATCTTTCTGAACCACTTGCAAAGGTTGGGAGTTGAAGGTGTGATGTTACAATGGTTGTTATCTGAGTAGGTTGGATGAACATAAGGGGAAAGGAGGAAGAGATCAGGCTCCCAACCGCTTTGGTATGGAGTGCCTCAAAGTTCAATCCTTTTTTCAACATCTATATGAAACTGCTGGAAAAGATCATCTGCTGGTGTGGGGTGATGTGTCTTCAATATGAAGATGGTACCTATCTCTATTCTGGGACAATTGGGAGATGTAGTGTATGGAGTCTGAATAAGGGAAAACAGGATCAGCCACAACCCAAAAAAGGTAGAGTGCTTGTTAATGCAGGGGGTAATTGATTTCAGCAGTGAACCATCTATGGCTCTTGATAGAGTTGTACTCCTCAGAAAAAGCATACTTATATCTGGAGGTCCTCTTAGACTCATGGGTCTGGAGAGCTTTTGTAGAGTTTCAGCTGGTGTACCAACTATACCCTTACTTGAAACACAATGCACTGAAGATTGTTGATCATACCTTTGTTCTCTCTCAATGAGCTCACTGTAATGCACTCTGTAATGCACTCAATGAGCTCACTCTGTAATGCACTGTCCTGGAAGATTAATCAAAAACTTCAAAGGTTCAGAATGGAGTGGCATGCATGCTCAGTGGTCACTGGGACTGCCATGGAGCTGTGCAGTTACAAATAAGTTTCTAAGTGCAGTTCAAAGTGCTGGTCGCTACCTATGAAGCCCTGTATGACATGGATATATTAGGAACACCTTCCACCAATAGTTTCTGACCATCATGAGGTGCCCTGAAGACATTGTCCTCTGTAGCAATGTCTCTCTTCCAGAATGGCTTTCCCATGGAGCATAAATGTCTTCCTCCTTATGACCTCCTGGAAGCAGATGGAAATGAGGTTCTTCCAGAGGGCATTTGGAGATTAATGCACTCGGAGGCATCATTTTCCATAATTCCATGATCTCATTCTTTTCCTTCCAGTTAATTAGCATTCTGATTTTGTATTGCATTTTTATTGTGTAAGTCCTGTAAACTGCCTACAGCCTGGTTGGTTTCAGGTGGTGGGCAAATTTAATGAAACAAAATGGCTGTGTCCTGCTTTGTTCAAGATCCATTGCCAACTCTTAATTTTGCAATGGATTGCAAATAGCATCATTTTTAAGGAGCTGGATCAGTCTGAAATATAGTTACCTCTGCAGCAGTTTCATATTCTTTTGCTGATGACGTAGCCTGACAATATTTCTTTCTCCTTTTTAAAAAAAAGCATTTTCATTTCTTAAGTCAGATGTTTAAAATTGTTTTTGGAATGACTTCTACAGATTTATTCTAATGTGAACTGTTTCTTACCTTCCTCTGTTTCTAGACCAGAAGGGTCTCTTCCTGTGGTGAAATTCAGCAGGTTCTGGAGAACCGGTAGCAGATATTTTGAGTAGTTCGGAGAACCGGCAAATACCTGGCTGGCCCCCAGAGTGGGATGGGAATGGAGATTTTGCAGTATCCTTCCTCTGCCACGCCCACAGAACCAGTAGTAAAAAAAATGAATTTCACCACTGGTCTCTTCCACTCCAGCTGAAGGCAGCAGAAGAGCAATTCCTTACAATACTTAGAAATGTTCCTGTTCTTGGCCAATATAGTGATGAAACAGCAGGAGGAAAATCCAGACCTCTCAAATTATGGGTTTCTTCCCTCCCTGTCCTGATGTATTTAATTAACTGGAAGGCCGGCGGGTGATTGTTGTCCCCTTCTTAATAGGCTATGACAAATTCCCCCTTTCTTCTTTGAACTCTATTAGTGCTTGCTGGCTAAATACGATACATTACTTAGGTGAAGGAACAACATTGATGGGGGGGCGGGAGAGACCCTCCAGCATGTTCTTTCTCCTAGTGGGAAAAATGCCATCTATGGATTTTTTACTCTTTTAGGAGAAGAATGACCAGCAGCTGGATAGAAGCCATGAACTTTGCAGGCCACTCACCATCTCTCAGTTGCAACTGGGCAGCAAACTATGGAGCATCTGTGGAGTAGCCTTTTGCTATTTTTTTAATAAATGTTAATCCAATTCAGATTGATAAAGTATAATTCAAACATTAACATAATCTGTTGAATATTTCTCATCCATGGCATTAAAAAATGCTGAAAAGGGTAACTTGCCTGCTAATACAATCTGGCCCTCCTGGCTGCATCTTTTATAGAGCCCTCTCCAAGGAAAATTGTCTGTTGCCCTTAGCCACTGAGAAAAGTAGCTCACTTCTACCAAGTTTCCCAGGGTCTTATTTTCTTTTGACCTCCGAAATAAATGCTTGGCCTTATTTTCGGGGGGGGGGTATTATTTTTGAGGTGCAGGAGGCGGCAAGCATGGTCACCTCATGGCTCCTGCTGTGTTGCAATATTTTTGGGAGAGGGCTTATTTTAGCACATGCACTCAAAAGCCCGATTTTCTGGGGAGGTCTCATTTTCAGGGAAACAGGGTAGTGGGGAAGCGAAACTATAGGAATGAGAAGCAGAAGCGAAGGAGAGAATGCAGAGTGAAGGCTGGGTGAAGAAGCATGGCAAGACCAGGCACAAAGGCAAGGGGCCAGGCGCAGTCACGCAGGCCGGTTGGCCAGGTAGGGTGAAGCAGACAAGCTTCAGCTGTTGCTAGAAGAGTGAAGCATGTGCATGTGTGCCCGCTGGTATGGACAGTCCCTTGCATTTTCCAGGACATCCCTGTGGGTTAGATTCAACCGCTTTGCGGGTTTGATGGCAGGGTGGGGCCAGCCAGCAATTTAACAACCGGTTCAGCTGAA